AACAAATGATGAGAATGGCAAGCTTTTTTTGGATCCACTGAAACCTCCAGCCAGCTGATGTGGTCAAAAGTCTTGGTTTAGTTCTCCACAGCTTTCAAAATTCTGAGCCAGAGTTTTGCAGTTGTAAAATGGGTTTAGAACTACTGAGATTTGAAATCCCAGCACATTTTAGCTTGTTCTCTTATTCATTTAACTGGCAGGGGGAGTCCTCATAGCTTTTATAATTTTCTCCACTGGAACTGTTTTGCAATAGTATGCCTCGTTTAAATATCAGATGCTTGAGGTTATGAGTGGGGAAAGGAATCCTGTTGCATTCTTGTCTTGTTTGTGGGTCCCCACAGGCATTTGGTTGGCCATTGTGGGAGCAAAATGCTGGTCTCTGCACTGATGCCCGAGTTTCCTATATATCGTAACATCTTGATAATAAGGATATTAATAGAAGAAGTCATGAGTATCTGACCATTGTGGATTAGTTTGGTGCCATTCATTTTTTAACCATCAAGAATCATAGAATTGTAAATTTGGAAGGGGCCATCGAGTCCAAACCCTTGCTTGATGCAGGAATACAAATCAAAAGTGGTTGTCTGAGTTCCTCTTGAATGCCTCCAGTGTTGGAGCACTCAGCACCTCTCGAGGTATTTGGTTCAGCAGGATATGGCTTAAACAAGATTCCTTATCCTGCATTTTGCAGTCACAAACAAGTCTCAAACATTGGCTGTGTTAAAGCCTCAGCACACAGCAGTGCTAGATATGGAGTGGTGGAGGAGGATTGTGTTTATATGGAATCAGCAGGTTTTTTTAATTTGTTTTCTTCCATGGAAGTAGGATGTGTGGTAGATAACCTTATGGCCCCTAGACTGCTTGCAATGCAAAGGTGTTGGTGAAACGGCCATTGTGAGTTAATGTGACAACTTGGCTGATGCTGCAGACAGAGCTGGAGGTGAATATAGGACAGTGATGGCGAATGAGCCTGAGTACCCAAACTGAAAAAATAAAGCAAAACAAAGAAATAAACAACAACCCAGCGGGGGGCGGCGGAAGGGGGAATCCCAGGCATGGAGGTGCCTCCAGACCCCCCTCCGGATCCGCCTCCAGTCGTGCCCAACCCTGCCATTGCCTCTAGCTTGGCTGAGCCACGAGTGCCAGCTGCTCCGGATCTTGGCCCGCTGCCTCTCAAGGCGCTAGCACTGCGGCTGCAGCCTCCTCCTCAGGTTTGGCTGCTGGGGGTAGCAATCCAGCGACTTATGGCTCACATGCCCACAGAGAGGGCTCTGCGTGCCACCTGTGGCACGCGAGCCATAGGTTCACCATCACTGCACTAGAGGAACATAGTCCCTCATTCTCTGACAGAAGCTGTTAGGAACTGAAATAATTTCAGATGCCAAATGAATAAGAAAGGAAAAGATAGACATCTGAGGCAGGGGGAGGAGCCCAGTTCAGTTGGCCTGCTGTTTGTTACAACAGGAGTCACATGGGCCTAAACATATTTAGCAGATGAACATGGCGGAATGAACTGGTGGTGGTGGTGGGGGAAATAATCCCATTACACAGAAACTGCTGAATGCCTTTTACCTCAGGGAAATTGGCTTCACATTTTCAGTAACTCTACAGCCCGTTTTAACCTGTGAGTTTGGAAATTAACAACATATGAATAGGACTGCTGCCCGTACTTGCAGCACTTTCTGTTGAGGACTAAACTGCTTGGTCTTCTGACCCTGCAGCACAGGCTTCTGCGGTTTAGCCCACAGCGCCACCACGTCCCCCCACAGCGCCACCACGTCCCCTTTAACTGTCTACTTAGAAGTAAATCCTGTTGCATTCCAAGGACCTGATTGCCAGGCTAAAACTTTATTGGTTTACTAGGTTTTCTTTTAAAAGGGACTATTCTTGTACAGTATTCTGTTTTTAATGTGTTTTTAATACTGCTTTTATGTATATATTTTTATATATTTATTTAATTCTTTTTTAAAGCTATTGTAATACTTTATTGTTTCAGCGTTTAATATTGTTTCTTTTAATACTGTAAGCTGCCTTGGATCCTTTTAGGAGAAAGATAGTATATAAACAATTTATATAAATAAATACATTCCCTTGCACCCTTCACATTTTAAAATCAGTGTTGGGAAGGGATATAGAGTCATAAAGAATTTAATCGTGGTTTAGATTTCATTTTATTTTTAGGAAGTAATATGTGTCATATTTTTTATCATTTTTAAAAAAACTTTTTAAAAGTCATTTCCTCACAGTACACTCCTTGAAAGCATACTATCATTTCCTTTTTAAAAAGGTTACAAAAGGATTAAACAAATTTATGGAAGATAGTTGTATTATTGCTTGCCAGTTAGCAGAATAATTAATCCCTGTGTGCTGAAGCACTATTCTTTTAATTGCCAGATGCTGTAAAGAGATAACAGGATGGGATAGCTGTTGCTGTCACGTCGTGCTTAGGCTGATACAAATTCAACATTCCCGAACTGGGTATATTTCCTCTCATTTCCAGAATAAATTCCGTTTGCCCACCTAAGCAGTGTTTAACACAGGGTTCACTCTTAAACGTTTCAGGCCAGGCAGAGGCCTAGGTTTAGAGCTGAAAGAGCCTTGGTGGTGGGCCATATCTTTCAGGAAAGAGATGGGGTAGAATAAAATCTTGATGATTTTTTGGGATGTCTCAATAGTATGTGATACTCATTGGCTATTGTTGTGATCTGTCTTCCTGCTCATGTTCCAGTAGGGAGAGTGAGCAAGGCAAGATGCAGTCTTCAATGGATGGAGCTTCTAGCAGGGAATGGAGTTTATCTGGGACATATCCTGAATCCTCTGTGGACAAGATTAAGCCTTTAGGCTGAACATTCACCATGCCTCATCTAGACCAGTGGTTCTTAACCTTTGTTACTCGGATGTTTTTGAACTGCAACTCCCAGAAACCCCAGCACAGTTGGTGGTGAAGGCTTCTGGGAGTTGCAGTCCAAAACTCCTGAGTAACCCAAGATTAAGAACCAGTGATCTAGACCAGTGGTTCTTAACCTTGGGTTACTTAGGTGTTTTTGGACTGCAGCTCCCAGAAGCCTTCACCACTAGCTGTGCTGGCTGGGGTTTCTGGGAGTTGCAGTTCAAAAACACCTGAGTAACCCAAGGTTAAGAACCACTGGTCTAGACTGAGCTACATTACATGACTTCTGAGGGACCTGTGCTGACTGTTTAATTCACTACTAAGCCCAAGTCAAGATGCCGATTTAGCCCGCTTAGGACTCAAATAGCTAGAAAAACAGTTTTTTCTTATGTCATCTTGCTTAAGCAGAGGAGGCACTTCTGCAAATTTCACTAGTGAAAAAAAAAGCATTATGCATGTACGAAAGCGAACATGTAGGCAGCTCTGATCCTCCAGATGTTTTTGGCATGCAGCTTCTGTGAGCCTTCGATATTTTGTCTAAGACTGATGGAAGATGAAATCCAAAAAAATCTGAAGAACTTAAGTCATCCACTTCAGTTATGATGAAGGGACTTTTTCTATGATCATACCCCAACTTTGGAATGCCCACTTGAGTAAGATACATTTGATGCCAGTGCTACATTCATTTTGGCAACAGATATTAAGAAATCTTATATTTTTAGCTGCTCATATAATTTGATTCCTCTCAGTTTTCCTATATTGGTCATTTTTTATGTTTTAATACTGAACTATTCTCACATTTTTACGTGTACTCCTCTGAAATCTGTGCCATTTATCAATTCTGCTCATTTATCTTTTCTTAAAATAAATGAGTAAAATAACCAGATTTTGAAATCATGGTCTTAATTCTGGTTTCATATCTTAGTTACAAGAAAATCATGGTTAATCTGTACTGCTTACTGGAAATGAAAGTTGCTCCAGAAGTGGCATTGAGATAAAGGGGAAGCATGCAATACTGTGTGGCTCAGTGCATCGCTCCTGTTTCCTTAGTGGAAATGAAATCCTGCTAATTTTTCAAAGAAATAGCCATGTTATTCTGTGCAAGCATATTAGACAAAAAACACACAAAATGTGCTAAGTCACTTATTTTTTTTTCTATGAAAGTAGGCTGTTATATTTTGACAGCCAGTTCTGGTTGTCCCTGAGGGCATCAGGCTGGTCAATACTAGATGTAAAGTATGAGATTAGGTAGTCTTCTAGTTAATGTTCATTGCTGTGTGCTTACTCAGTAGCAAAGTGTGTTGGTGGAATTGAGGCCAGACTGGCTCCATCTTTGCTGTCATTCTGCAAGCAGGCAAAGACCTTTCTCTTCAAGCCAGATTTCACTTAATTACTGGCTGCCTAAGTGGGGTTCTTAAATAGATTCTTGTGCCTTCCTGCTTTCAGTGTGTGTCTTTTGTTTGCTGTCTCTTACTGCGGTATTTGTTTGATCCTTTTTAGTATTTATATACTTCTTGTTTTTGTCTTGAATAAATTTTGTCTTTGAATGATGTAAGCCTCCTTGGGTCCTTCTTAATAACAAAGGCAGGGTAGAGATGTTTTAAATAAATAAATGTAATTTTTTTGCAGTTTGCTATTTCAGCCCATTTCTTCACATGGATGATGAAATTACTTTTGGTCAAAATCACCTTGCTTTAAAAAATGGAGGAGGGGAGGGTTTCCCCTTCACTCATCCATCCATCCAGTAGTGAGTTGACCTATGTTTGCCCTCTCAGAGAACACCAGCGTAAGAGGTTTGGGTTGATGCTTCTTGAGGCTGTTCCTATCTCTTGTCTTGCATAAGCACCACCATTCATTTTGTTTTGTTTTTTTTCCAGATGAGAGTGTTTAGCCATCTTGTTATCCTTCCCATAGAAATGTCTGCTTCAAACAAGGAAGAAATATTTGTGTATAGAGTTGGAGGTGGTAGCACAGCTTGTGGTCGGTCATATGGTGGGACTGAATATATCTCTTCTCCACCTCTACCCATCCACCTTCGCCTCCACATATTTTCTGTTTTTCAGGCTCTAATTGTGCACTAAGCAGACATCTTCACTGAGCTATGAATAAAAGATGTCCAAAAGAAGACACTGGGTGAGCTTTTCCTGAGGGTTGAACTCTTACAATCAAGAAAAACTGCTTATTGTTTCTCAGTAATTTTGTTTCTCAAAGCATCAGAGGATGCTTCTTTGGCCATCACAAATCTCTTTCAAATATCAGCTTACTAACAATAAATGTGGCAAGAAGCCCAGTCAGTCTGTCAATCAGTATGTCTCTATCTTTCTTGTTTCTTGTTCTTTTCTTCTTGGATTGAAATAGATTTTTTCACCCATTCTTGCATTTCTTGAGCTTTCTTCTTTTGAAATATTAGAGTAAGGTTATGACTTGGGCTATAAAAAGAAGATGGAGAGATGAAGGCAGTAGAAGCTGTTAAATTAATTCACATTCTTTTAGCAGTATGTATTCAAAAAATAGGCTCATCCTTCTGGAAGGGTGGTAATTCTTCTCCCTCTCTACTACGCTTATTAAGTCCATAGAATGAAAGTAGCAGCGGGTAATCTACATTGCAATTTCAACTTTCATATGAAAATATGCTTGCCAGATATTTTACTTACATCTGACCTTATCTGCTGAAAACAGAGGTGAGAAGAGTAATAAACAATACAGAGAAGAATTGTTTTGCTGTCACTCTCCCTTTGGGCTCTAAGGCTGGATTTGGTCCTGGTGAAAAAGAATGTTGGTGAGTTTTAATATGTTGCAAGCAGCTGCTGCATCATTTAACCATCTCAATTAAGAGTGGGAATTTGCTCTGGAGATAAGCTGCGGGTTGCTAAATCATTTCTTAACCATGGATAAGTGGGTCCTGTCATAATCAGATGTTTTAAAGGTAGACTGCTTTTCCTTCTAGCCTGGCATTATCTGTACTTACTGGGAGTGGCTGTCCTGAATCTCAAACAGGAGGTCTTCTCTTTCCACTGCTGTGTCACCCTTCTAAATGGAGATGGCAGGAATCAAGCCTGAGACTGTGTGGGCAAGACACATGCACTGTCAATAAGCTATGCCTTCTCTTCTTTGCCTCACTTGCACTAGGCATTAGATGTTGAACTACCAAATGGGCGGTATCAATATCAGTGTTATTTCCTCGTGACAAACCTCTCAGAGGCATCTGTAGGTTGATCACATGGGAGCTACATGGACCATTGATCTGATCCAAAGTGGCAATTCTCTGCATTGTTATGACTTATTTTTGATGTGTCTCATTGATGCCCCCAGAGGTCTGCCTCCTATCACTGTCTGATTAATTTATAGTGCTGCTTTTTGGAGAAGAGATGTTTGAATATTGACTGAGTGTAGTTTTAAGAAAACAAAAGCTCTGTGTGTGTGTGTGTGCATGCGTGCGTGCTTTTGAGATATCCTTTTCAGGGCTATAAAGCTTTGAAGCCTAAGGAAAGATGTGTTTTTTTGTTTTGTTTTTTTGCTGAAATAGGATTTTCTTTCTTTCTTCTTTCCGTTTGGTTTGCAAATTGAGAGAATACTGTAAGCAAGAAAATGTTGAACCTGGATGTTAAAAGAAGGTATAGAGGAGTTCTTAGAAAAGGGAGGAAATAGAGAAAATGGGATGTTGATGAAGGGAATACAATGGAGGTTCCCCAGACTACGCTTATGAAGGAGGTATAGATCAGAAAGCTTGCTCATCAGGGAACTGATCCAGCAGCATTTCTGCTCATGGCCAGCTGTCATCTGGAAGACCTTTTGTCCAGGGGAGTTGCTTGAATGCAAGGCTCTAGGCATGTTTGTGGAGTGGAAGGAAAGGGTTCTTTTCTTGCCCAGAAGAACATGAATAGCCAAGAATAATCTGGGTGTGGTGCTCATCGCTGGTGAATGAATTCTCAAGCTAAGTGCTTATTGGATGCTGCATTTCCCACTTCATGTTCTGCCCATGTTTTGATGAACATGCAGCACTCTAAGCAGTGTCAACCATCAGTGTTTTAGAATGGCAGAGTCAGACCTTTGTCAGGAGTTCTTCTGGCTTCTGAGGGGCATTATTTCTTCAATGGAAGGACATGCTCTCAATTTTGGTTCTCCATGAGAGAGGTTTTCTTGCCCTTTAAGAATCACAAATGTTAAGTGACATATGAAAGCAGCGGGGAGATTCAGTTTGCATGAAAGGTGGTCTTTTCGTCAGTATTCCTACTGTAATGATGCTTCCTCTGTTAAAGGTTTGGGGTGCGGGTTGCTGTCAGTTTTTTCTTGGTTTGCTGACCTTGATCAGAAGACTATAGCTGTTCTGCTAATTCTTGTTCCCTTATTTACAAATTGCTGCTCTTCTGTTGAATCTTGTTTCCTTATTTACAGTGAAGATTAACTTCTGAGCTCTCATCTCCAGTGGATTATGCAGTCCTTTTTAAAGTGTGCGAGTCATTTACTCCTGGCTGTCCTGTTCTTCATGTAATATAAAAACGTACAAAACTAACACTGAAGCAAGTATGTGGGCCATATAGTCCAGTATTGTCAACACTGACTGCCAATAGCTCTCCAGGATTTGGGGCAGGCTTCTTTCTTAGCCCTGTTTGCAATTGCCAGCCATTCGGCTTGGGACAGTCTAATCATGTGCACTACCTATTAGCTACAGCTGTCTTCCTGATATACTGGTTCCATCCCTAGCAGGTATAATGACAATCCTTTGCATGATCTATGAGCCCCACATGCTGTAGCCTTTCCTCACGAAGGAGGTGCCCCAGCCCAGTCATCATTTTAGTCGCTCTCTTCTGCACCTTTTCCAGTTCCATGATGTCTCTTTTGAGGTGCAGCAACCAGAACTGTACGCAATACTCCAGGTGTAGCCTTACCAGTGTTTTGTACAATGGCATTATAATGTTGGCTGTTTTATTTTCAATCCCCCTTTTAATGATACTTGTATAATTTAATGATATGGGTATAGTGATAATTGCTGAAAATATGTACTTCGTTTTTATTTTATATATTTTTAACACTGAAGGTTAAAGGAAATTCCAGGAAATGTACCTACACCCTCTCTGCATTAAAGCTATCAGACTTCTTTGTCTTTATGGTTCTTCATGCCCTTCTCTTTCAACCATAATTTTAGAAGATCACCGCAAGAGAGAGGGCTTCCTAATTGGTGTCCCCATAGTAGTTTTGGGATGATCACCTGAATAATACCACCTGCCATCTTTCTCATTTTTTGCAGTGCATATTGTCTTGTTGCATAGTTTAACTTTTTGTAATCTGTGGTGTGTTTTATGAAATTTTGCTGGACTTTTTTGGTCAGCTGGTTTTTAGTTTCTTGTGGATATGCCTGTGTTTCTCTTGTGTTTTAACTATACCGTGCCAAGAGAGACTTTATCTATGGGAGGTCCAAGACATTTTGAAAAATATATCCTGGTAGAGAGTTGTTGTTGCCTTAATTTGCAATGTATGTGTTCCTCCTCAGGGCCTGATCTCTCAAATAAATAAAGACTTTATTTCCTGGCCACTATGCATTGTTCAGGTTGTCTGGAATTGGCTGTAACAAGAAGGGGATAGTAATCAAACCACTTGTTAACAGTTTAGTTCATTCAACCACACCCTCTTTCTAATTCTTCTTTGCTTCTGAGTTCCTCAGATCTTGTCCTTGGTCACTTACTGGAGTAATTGGTCCTGGAGGAAAGTACAACCACCTCCAGCTGCGAAAAGTACTGTAGTATGATTCTGTCGGAAATATAGGCTTCCTCTCATGATTATGCTTTGAAAATTGGGACAGTGGAAATGTAAGACACCCCTTTCAATATTTCCTCATTTTCTTCTTTTAAATGAAAATGATAAAACCTGTGATCAAATATTTATGGCTGAATGTAATGAGAATTATATGTCCAGATTTGAATGTAAAATGCAAATGCTTTCTCTCTGCCCTGGGGATACTGGAGACATAGCTGCAGTGAGCATGTACAAATTAGCAGCTGTCTGAAAGTAGGTAGACAAGGAGTAAACAGGGAACCCCTCAGGGATACTTCCAGGCAAATAAGTTTCTCTTCCGAGAAACAGCAGCAAGAGTACCTTGACTCTGGAGGGAACTCTCAACAGCCAGCCACAGTTTTTACCACCACCATTATAAATAATGGCAAGGGTAGTCTATGGGGAGGGGACTTTGATTTGAACCTTTGCTAAGGTGGTAGAATGGCAAACTCCTTCAGCCATTAGAGGTGGATTCTAACTGAGATTAAATTGAGTGGTAGCTTGCTTTTGCTAAAACACAATTTCCTTTTTCTTCCCTTCAAGGAAATACCCAGTAATTATATGGAAGATGCTGGCTGGATAGCTCAGTGGTTTAGTTATTTGGCTACAGAGCCAGAGGTTGGGAATTTGATTTCCCTGCTGTGCCTGTGGGGAGGAGAGCCAGCCTGTGAGGCCCTGGGCAAGCTGAACTGTCTCAGGATGCCCTCAGAAGAAGGGTAAACCACTTCTGAGTACTGTCTACCTAAAAAAAACCTGGAAAAGGGGTTTCCATAAGTCAGAATTGACTTGACAGCACATGATGATGATTTTTATATAGAATATAAAAGGTGGAAGAAATTGCCAAAGTGGGAAGATTATAACCACAGTGATCTTGTTTTGCATTGAAACAGTTCCTCTACACCAGCTTCCCACCACCAGCACTGTGGTGCCCATCAGATGCCTTGGTAGCAACGTACTAATTTTCAGCCATGCTGGGCTCTGCCTCTAGTGTGCAACTCCACCCCTGTAGGGTGTGCGTGCAAGTCCACCCTGCTGCATGCATGTGATTGCTGTGCAGAGAAGGAAGGGAGCTGCGTGCAGGGAGGCAGAGATTTGCATGCACGTGTCGAGTTTAGAGGGAACCTTGCTTGGTAGAAGTATGGTAGAAGCTGTTGTCCAACAACAAGATGTTTTGATCTTCTGCTCCCAGAAGTCCTAGTCTGTATATCCAAGAGTTCAAGTAGCTGAAGAACTAAAACTTGACAACCACTGTATTAGATGGATCAGTCTTTATCAACCTGTGTACTGTCCCAGAGAGCTCACTTACCATGACTTTGTTGGAGATCAAATAAGCAGGTAATTTTGCCTCTAAACTGACTACT